TTAAAAATAGGTAGAAACACAAAATCTATAGCGGGAGCTGCTGACGTAATGGAGCGAGTAGAGAGAATTTACATTTTGATAATCGAAATAATCTAGCGATTTTATTTTCTCAGTTCCTTGCATTGTTTTCTAAAAGACCAAACAAGTTTCTATCGAAATATAACCCTAATTAACAATTAGACCCGTGGCCCTTGAGGGCGAAGGGTCTAATTGTTTTAGTATCACCCAACTAGTCAGACAGAAATGGCAATAATAAAGTTAGCAAATGCAAGTTGAAGAAATATTTATTTGGGAATAAAACGAAAGAAAGCGTCACGCTCGATTGCGCCAATTTCGCTACTCGAGGACTATTACTAATGGTCCTCTAGTAGCGTAGCCAATCAAAATGCAGGATTTGTATTAATCCACTAGTTGGGTGATACTAATATGGTATATTCTATAGTACTAATCCTACGTTGTATCGGTCACTGCTTTTATCCGATCCTCTTTATTTTCATTGTTAAGCCGATTGATTCACTATTGATCCAACGTATATCACCAGAGTCATCGTTCGGGGTTGCTTGCTTAGTTTTATACTTTTTTATTGACTGTATATAACCAAATTTAGCTGAAGGAACCACACATGACCAATCAAAACAAACGCAAATAACTCGACATAGATGGCACTCTACTGTCACCAATAGCGCACGTGAAAGCAATTTATTTTCCTTCTGGTTAGCTGAAAAGACAAACAATGTGTTAGTTTTGATTGGTTAAAAAGTGTTAATAATAATACTTTTTATGGTACCTCTTAGTTACTACGCCCGCTATGATTGGTCAATTGAGCAGGCCGTGTTCTATTTTACAGCCAGCTAAAATTTAAATCCATTTGGGAACCTGTAACTGAAACACTCATAGAAATATTATAACTATGTTTCTAACCTCGTCGTCTCGTCTTTGTTTTTCCCCTTCCATCTGTGGCCCGCGCGCTTATCTTATAGTACAGACTGAGGACTCGGTTAGTCATGAAGAGATATTTAACCCGTCAAAGAACTAAATTTGAACGATTTTAGTTAGAAATAAGCTAGTGGATACGTTTGGGAAAGGAACTTTTGTTGAGCAAGTGAAAATCTTAGTCCAAGTTTAAGAATCTAGCCAATCAAATCATGTGTCTCAAGAGCCACCTTTCCTAGTGCCAAGGCCCCGCCGGCTAAGAGGGACAGGTGACTCTGGGAAAGAGAGCTGCCAGTAAAATCAATAATATCATCGAGCAGTTCAAGCTAGCTGCGAGCAAAACATGAACAACAATCCGGGACAAGAAGTCTTAATATATGGTGAGGAGCATACCAGGATAGAAGGAACACAAGTGTCGAAACAGACAATCATACATGCAACGGATGGCAAGTTAGTATTTGACAATTGTTTCTCTATAAGAATTGATCGATCGAGTTATGATGCACGCGGGAGTTTGGAACGCACAAGAAAAGTGTTAGAGAAAAATCTCAAGCTTTTCGTTAACAAGACGACGGGTATCGGAAATGTTTTGAATCAATGCTAGTTCGCGGGTTGCCCCTAGAATAATTTTGTGAAACGAATTGAATCAGTTTTGTTGGGATTGTGTTCGTGAATGCTTTGTGCTGCTTGAAAATCAACACCAATACAAAGTGAGCAGTTTTCCTGTCCTCACCTTTATATTTACCCTCAATGGAACCATCGCTTTATTCGATTGCCTTCCTTACTAAGCTAACACGACGCAATGATACATCGGTCGCAATCCAGCGCTGTATACACCGCTAAATACACGTCACACAAATAAATAAATCCTCGCCGAATTGATTTCATACGCAGAAAGGGGAGTGTAAAACCTGCATGAAGCTGCACCTGATTCATATCTGAGTACGAAGCTCACTTTCACAGCTAAGCGTAGGTTCAGCATGGTATTTTATTTCCTCACGTGAATAGTCGTCCTTTTGCCTCAAATGCAGCATCAACTGGTAAATAACTAAAATGAGATGAGTCTTTAGGATAAAGGGGTTCCAAAGGTCATATTAACTCCATTTGTGAAATCCGAGGAGGAGTTTAGTTATTTATTTATCCCCACAGTGAAAATCAAATGAACTTTAATCATAATAGACTTAGGTCAGAAATCCGAAAGTAACGGAATTAGCAAGCCAAAGTGGCAGCCATTATTTTCGTGTAGCGCTACTTGTGCAACACTGGTTGATGGCAATACTTTCGAGTGTTGAAAGCTAAGAGCGTTCATAAATCGGAAGCTGTTTTACACAAAGGGTAAGTGTGATATAAATAAACGTAGGGTCGCCTTACCAACCTCAGGGCAGCGAGGTCGTGAAATCAACCTCGGTGGGCGTGTGCATTAAGAATTTTGTCAGTTCAGCGACGCGGGAGACAAGTAATGAAAAGATTTATTAAAGATTAAAATGCCCCTAGAAATGTGGAAGATGCGACGAAATGTTGTAATACACTAACTCCCTCTGCACGGCCATGCCGTGACATACTAGCATGATAAACTAGGTCCTGGCCGAAGAACTGGAGAATCTAACGGGGCTGTAGGAATGGTAAATCAAAATAAATGAGGTCTGTTGAACTCGTCTGCCGTTTTATAGACTACAAGTAGTCCCTTTTCCGCTCAGTCCGTCGCGCGTGACGCGAAAGAAAACCGCGAGAACAAAATGGCCGCGCGAAATCCTGGGGACTAGGTTAATAGAGAAGGGGATTCGAGATACGGACAGCCGAAGGTGTTGCCCCGTAGGGGGCCCAGGGCACTCTCCCCTGGAGAATTTTTAAAATTGTGGACCTCGAAAATGGGGTTTCCGGCGTTCTGAGGCCAAGTCAGCGTGTTATAATGTCTCATTTTTTTTTTTTATTTAACCGAACTTCTCTAGATCGTCCGTAGGTTTGGGTTTATTGTTTATTTTGTTTATTGTTTATTGGGTTTATTGTTTAGTACATAAAACTTGATGAATGATCTTTAAACTTTTTTCAGTGTCATTGCAGTTCAAGTGGAAAGTGTCAGGTAAAGACGGTGACATCATCAAAACTGTGATTTTGTTTAGCTCTAGTGTAACCCATTACTTACCAAGAATCCTTTTAGCTATTAAAAGGCCATTGTACAAAACAGCCGATGTTCCCTTACCCTTCACTTTCAGCGCGCCTGTTCTGAGCCCTGTCCAATCTTGTCCTCAATCTGCCATACAAGACTCTTCACCATCGTCCAGTGAGTTTTCCTGTATGGAGTGCTGCTTTCGATGTGAGAGTGGTTACAACTGGTACGACTTAGAAGGAAAAGGTAAGAACTTTTGAAAACACGATAGACCTTTTACTTAACGGTGGCTCACGTAAGATAACACGAGTTCACTTACTTTAGTGTCTCGGTCTTCCGCTGTCTGTCTGTGTTAAAGGGCGTGGCAGAAAGCCACACACCCAAGGAGGCACTGGACTGGAATATTTAAGCGACGAGAGTGAAGAAGGGAGGGGAGGAGGTTAAGGAGGCGAAATCGTCAGACTTAGACCCAAAATATGTCCTACACCAAAAAATTTTTTTCTTTCCATCAAAAAAATAAAAAATAAAACAATAAGAGAGTTCATGACAAGTCCACGTCCAGTTTTCTTTAATTATCATACATCTGTCAAGGACGGCCGCGATCGAGACACGTGGCGATGAACGATATCAACAAGAAGAGAGAACATCTCGGGGTCAAGACATGGAGGGAGGAAGAGGTGGCGGAACGAGACCAAGTTACTTAAGGAGATGGATTGATGGACCCGTTCTCGACGAGGACAGAAGGGAAATATGACGATGATGATCAAACATTTTCACCCACAAAAAGTCACTGCAGAATTTCTACCCCGAAATTCCCTTGCCCCCTCCCAATTTTATCTCTAGAGGGAGTATTAGCGGTCGGGCGACCAGATCATCTACCCAGCGTAATATACCGCTTTTTAAAACCAAGTCGGGACAGAAATCTTTTTATTACAGAACTGTAACTTTGTGGAATGCCTTGAAACCCCATTTTAAATTAAGTGAATCTCTTATCATTTTTAAACGTAAAATGAAAGCCTTCCTCTTAAATCAATTTTTAATGTCATAAATTTTATATGTAAATAGTTTTTCAATAATTGTTTATCGATGATCTTCGAGTATTTTTTAAAATTATCTTTATCATTGTCTCTGAAAAGCCCCCATGGGGAGCTGACAATAAAATCTGTATTGTATTGTGTTGTAAGGGTCACATGTTTCACATACGGTGCTCCTCAATAAATATAGAGCTTACTCACCTGATATATTTCCCTGTATTAAGGCTATATTTTAACGAGAAATTTTTCTATTATTGCTTTTCAGGTTTTTGCCTTGTTCTGTTACTTCTACTTGGCTATTTGGTTTTCGGAGTTGTTGCTCTTGCACTTTGGTTGGCAGTTTGTTTCTTTTCATGTTTATGCAAAATGTTCTGTGATGAGGACTGACCGATGTCTCAATAACAAGGCTCTCTTTTATGTAAAGACGCGAATATGAAAATCGTAACTTTTTACCTTATCAGTAAACAAATAAAGGTTTGTTGTTAGAAAAGATTACGCTGTTTTCTATTTGAGCGAGTTGAACAGTTGACATGCTGTCCCGAGGCATCCCACCCGAGCATAAAATAAATGTGAAACAGACAGTTTCGAGAAACAGTGATGACAAATGACTGAGTGTCCACAAGAGTGGTTGTCCCTTTGATCCCTTGAAAATTTTAAATTTTCTTCGAATTCTTTGTTCCTCTCTATTACATTTCATTCTTCCCTAAAATCTTTAACCAAAGTTTTCTTTAATAACAGAGATATCCCTTGTTGCCTAAAATAAATCCAAGGATATCCCTTGCTCCTTCCGCCTTGACATTAACCCCTCATTATTAAGCATGCACCTTACGCAGAATAGAAATAAAAAGAGATGATAGAATCGAGGTCTTGTTCTTCGAGACCGGGCTCAAATGAAGAGGCCGTTAGTGGTCAAATAATTTTCGCCAGGCGCACCCTCAGGAGTCTGGCGGAGGTCTGGGGTGGAAGGTAGCTTCGATCGTTAAGCCCAAGTGTGAATCAGCGAAAATTGTTGAGCGGGGCAAACTTGCTGGAAACTTTAGGGGAAAATGAATAACGACCGAGGAGGAGATGCCATAATAGCTGTCCAAGAAGAGCGTGCAAGAATAGGAGGAGTTGAAGTAACACGTCAGACACTGATAGCTGCCACGGATGAAGGGTTAGTCTTTGTAATTGACAACAATACTCCTTTGCAAAGTCGAACGTGTAATTTATATTTTTAAGTCTGAGCCGGAAAATTCTTTCCATTGAACAGAACAGTTCTTATAGTATCGATATACTCTGGAAATAAAAACAGTCGGAGATAACTGAAGCGCAAATCGCCGATTTAACACTTCGCTAAAGTTGGTGTGACGCATTTATGCAAGATAAATTTGAGGAAAAGCGGAAGTATATGTACGCAATTTAGCACGTGGTCGAAAATAAAATTAAATCATTATCATCACAGCAGTAACGTCTATAGCATTGTTTCTAATTTGATCGTTAAACGGGCGAGAAAGGTTCGCAAAATTCAGTAAACTTCCGCACGAAAAATTCCAATTTGTTGTTATGCCGAATTGACGGTCACATCATCCGGGCCTCTGGCACACTACGAATCGAGATCTTGGGGCTATCCGCTTTGTTTTAGCTTACTTGACGCTACATTTCTCGAAATCCAGTGGTACACTTATGCCTAAACGGAAATAAGCTTGTTTTTTCTTTTTTTTGACCAAGTTATGTGCCCGTTGGGCTAAATGCGACTCACGATTTGAATTTACGCCAAGAAGGTGCGCTTAGGACTCAGTATGGAACAGTGGGTATATATCTGAATTCGAGGCTCTTTAAACTAAGGTTCAGTGCGATATTTTATTTTGTTACTCAAGGTTTACAACGTAAGAATACCGATTTTTTCTTTAACATTGGCCTGTTTACCCTTCGAGACAAACTGCGTGTCAGCAAATAACAGAAATGATTTGAGTCTTAACAACGAGTACGAAGGTCATAACATCTCTTGCGTGAAAGCTAACACCAAAATAAATTATGTTAATTTGGACCGTAAAAAGAGTCGTGCAAAGCAAGCGACGCAAAAAATCATTTGAAGCAAATGACTTTAGGCTAAAAAAAAAATTATTGTCGGAATAATTTCCCAATAGCACCCCGGTCTTCAATAGTCCATCACGTGAACTGCGAAATGTTGATCGAGTTTACAACCACTAGTGTCAATAGTGTACCCAGGGTCTTTATCTTTGTTTCCTGCAGTAACGGTCTAAAATCAACAGTGTCGAAACAGCGGAATCGTGTTTCAATCAAAATTGAAGATTACTAATCTTCAATTTTGATTGAAAGTGTACATTATTGTGTTTTACTGATTACGTAAATTTAATGTTTGTTTTCTTTTTAAGTGTTGTTGCGGTGCAAGTGAACTCTGTGGAACACTCCGGATACGGGTAAAATGCGTGACATTCTTATCATTGATATTATTAACTCTAGTTGTACTTTGAAGAGATCTGGCCATGGCACAAGACAACAAGTATGCCATTGTTCTGCAGAAAATACATTCTCACATAAAAGAACTAATGTCTTACACAGCCCTCATATCCGGTCTATTTTATCCTCTCATAAATTATCGTTTATTTTTTATTAGATTGTTACGATTATTTACCCAGTTGGGGTTAGAGGTATTTTGAACCAAACCTGTCCCCCCCTACTAGGCTTTTATGTTCCTCATCTCTTATCCAACCTATCCCTCCCTGCCCTTTTTACCTTCCTCCTCTCCAGCTCCCCTTCTTACCTCTTTCACTCCCCCCCCTCCGATCCAACCTCTCCCTCGCTACCTCTTACCTCCTTCCCCCTATAAATTTCGGATAGGTGTGTCCGGCAAAGGGTCTTAAACCCTGACCCGATTTAAGGATATAGCAAACCCAAATTGATACGTTATTTAAAGCACAAGCCAGAAAAACTACTCCCTGTTCAAGGGAAAAACGAAAACTAAGAATGGCATGAACGGGTGAGTATTATTTCGTTTCCGTAACGTTGGAAGTTAAGTATCGAGCATAGAATTTGTTTTCGTTTAGCTGGGCATTGACGCACTGGAATTTTAGCTGATTCAATTTATGTACCCTATCTAAGGATCACACCGGGAACACAATGCCAACAGGAGCAAAAATGATACCCTATTTAAGGATGGGGAACCTCAAAACCCCTACCCTATCCCGCGGCATATACCTATATAGCCAATATATGGGAGTATCCCCCCCTCCCCGAAACGTGCAACGTGTAACGAGACGCTCTTTCAATATATTTTTAGTGGTTACCGTCCTGCGTTACAAGGAGGGCGCCCTGCATTACCAGGCAGTCCTCGTTACCCAACCCAAGCTACGAACTACAGGGAGAGTCGAAGCTGCACTGATTATTGCTGTTTGGCGTGTGACAGTGATTATGAATGGTACAAGTTGGAAGGAAAAGGTAAGAACTTTTGACTTGTTTAGATTTTAAGATTCACGTAGCTGTTGCACGTTGCAGTTGTTTTAACAAACTTACATGGTGTGCTGTCTGCTTCTTGGCTTCAAATGTCATCTTTGACTAGTCAAGCTCACCACTAAATTTTTTTTTGTCCTCTTTGTCTAAAACCGATTATCATAAACTTGCAAGAAATCATATTCCCCCAAACCGGACCGAATAATTCAGCTAGCTCAATGAAGCGACGGGCGACAAGCTCGCGCACCAAATATATGTGTTCTTTTGAGGTCGAATTTTGTGAAATTTTAAGCGAAATAAACTGCCCGCCAGACACGAAGGAAAAAGCTTACTCAGTGCTAACAGAAAACTAATTTCTTCCGCACAACCAACTCGGCTAAACTAATTTGTCCTTTTCCCGCTGAACGTAACTTCGCTTCCGTTGTTGAGAACTAGAAATACTGGCCGATACAACAAGCTGTTTATCAAAATGCTGTGAAGTTTACTTAAGACTACCCATAGGTAAAATATCCTGTTCTGATTCGATTTAATTCTTATCAACAAGTTCTTAGGACATCTTTTATCGAAGTAAAAATGCGGGTTTAAGTGAATCTTTATTCAAAACAAATTTTTATATTATTATCCAAAAATTGCAACACGCCAAAGTAAGCGATGAGCAAAGATTGCTAAATCCGAAAATAAGAAGAATAGCTACTTTCGGAGTTTACCGATTCTTCAGTATTGTATTACTTCATTTATTTTTCAAAATCTCTTAAGGTTACAGTATACCTTCAGGGGTGTCTCGCGCGCAAGCGATGTAGCGCGTGCAGTTTAAGCTGTAGATACCTAAACCCCTATATCAAATTA